CCTGGCTTCTGGCAGCGAGCCTCTTGCTATGTGACCAACCATACATAAGATCCGCTCAAATGTTATTGTAAAAGTTGAATTATTAAGTCCATAGGATTCTGAATAGTTCAGTTATTTATCTATGCTTGACTTTATTCCAAAAAAGGACTTAAGGAGACTTATACAAAGCACACTATGACAATATTAAAAACTAGCAAACACAAAATCTATGAAAGAAAGCAAAGCAGTGTGAGAAAATTCTAAATGAGACAAATACACAGAGATAGTTTGCTGCTAATGACATTTGTCTTGATTGCTACCATCTTTTAAGTAAAAAGCAGTGCCTGCGTCTGTCAGCACAGAGCTCTTCTTCAACTTTTAGGAGAGAAATGAAGCTTGTTTTTGGCTCTGCAGTGGGTTTTTTTAGGTATATGTTCAACTTCTAACCACGGGTGCTACACACCATCACTGTACTGTTTTGGAACATGTGTTTATGAGCACTGAAAGAGCAGGCTAGAGGTAGCAAGATTCTTTGGGAATTTAAAAAAAAAATAAGTTTTGTAAAACTAAGCAGGCCATTGTGGAGGTAGACTGAGGGGGTGGAAGGGAGGGCAGACTCGTATTAAAATCTTGATATAAAGTTCTAAGCAACGAATAAGAGGCTTAAATACATAAAGAGCGAGGCTAAATTTGGACCAATTTCCTGTGAAATCTCTTGTGTAATATTTTCAATTTGTGCTTGTTTAATGTGGTTTATTTTCCTAAGGTTCACGGTATAGGTTTTAAATTCAGCCTTGACTACACACATGTGTCGAGAGGTTATAAAACAAGAACCAGCTCAGACCAGTCTCCAACTGGATGCCCTTAGGTGGAAAACATTACCTCCTTTTCAATGCCTCAGGTTTCATCATGGGCACTGACTTCGTTTTTTTCCTATCCAGTTCCTGGCTACTTTTGCATCACCTGGTTTCAGCAACACCTGTCCAGTTTCATCAATTATTGCACCTAAGGGTGCTCCACAGCCTCTTCACTGCAGATCAGGACTCTAATAAGACTGTCTTGGGTAGGCCTGAACCCTGTATGAAATTCTTGACACAAAGGGATAATTCCACCCTCCCGATTAAAATGGAGAAACCACCTCAGGCCCTTCTGAGGGTTCTAATTTGCAGTACTGAGTTCTAATGTTGGCTTCTGATGTCCTGGATCACACCTACTCTAGGATGGGATCATTTCCTATATATATATCAATAGTGTTTTGATGACTTGAATACAGTATGTGGGACCTACTTTGTAAGACCTTAATAAAATAGGTAGGACCTCTCTGTTATTTCTGGCACTTACTATATCAGACCTTGTCTTTTTAAAAAAATGTGCTTATTTATTTATTTGTCTGTGTCGGGTCTCAGTTGTAGCATGTGGGACCTTCGTTGTGACATGTGGGATGCTTCACTGTGGCTTGTTGGCTTCTCTGGTTGCAGTGCTCGGGCTTAGTTGACCTGTGGCATGTTCCCTGACCTGGGATCAAACCTGCATCCTCTGCATTGGAAGGTGGATTCTTAACTGGACCACCACGGAAGTCCCCAGAACTTGTCTTACTGTTACCTGCTATTTGTCTCTCCCACTAGGCTTTAAGTCCTTAAAACAAGGTTTGTGGTGTGTCTCCTACAACACTCAAAATGTTACATAATATGGTGGACTGCACCATTGAAGATGTGCTTATACCTGTGGATGTAAAGGGAAATGAAATGAGACATGTATATGCTGAGTGTCTTAATTTAACCAGTAAGAGATCAGCAGGGAGAGAGAATTAGTTGCCTGGATGTTTTTATTTTCTTCATACTATTCAACAAAACATGCATTGGTCATTCATTCAGCAAACATTTATCAGGGACCTTTTTTCTTTTTTTTTTTTTTTTCACTAAAGAAGCATAAGCCTTCCAAGTCTAGGTTATAAAAACCAAAACATTTGGTTCACAGTTCTAGTTTCATTTCCAGCTCTACCTGTGATATAGGCTGTAGTGACATTGAAATCTGGCATCTTCTCTTTGCCACTGCTATATTTTCATGCCCATTCTTTTGTTTTCTCTCGGCATGAAAGTCTTTCTCAAGGCTGTAAATCTGGGATACAAGTGGTCAAAGAGTTATTCTTCAAGCCACTGTTTCCCTGGAAGGGGCAACCTGATTCTTAGCTGCTGATGGCTTTCTTCTTGGGGATGCAGTCTTTTGTCTTTTCACTTGACCACCTAGCTTTCTAAATAACTCAAGTGTGATATCAGGAAACTAGCAGCCTGGAAATGTGAGTCTCACTTTATGGTCACTTTCTTCCTGACATTCTATTATGAGAATTTTCAAACTTAAAAATCTTTAAGAGTTGTTTATTTACCACCCGGATTCTATAATAGCCATTTCACTCTATTTACTTTTGCTTATAGATGTATCTGTCTATCCATCCATAAATCCATCTTATTTTTTAATCCTTTTCAAAGTAAGTTGGAGACATCAGTCATTTTACCCCTAACTGCTTTGGCATCTGTATTACTAAATAGAATTATTTAGTTATGGTTCTTTATTGTTGTTGAAGTTTATAAAGAGTGAAATGCACAGATCTCAAGTATATTAACAGCTGCCTCTAATGTTGAATATTGTTTTCTTTTCTAGTTTTTCCTCATTGTCAGTAACTAATCATGAAGATTAGAAAAAGATTCTGTAATATCCAATGGTAGTATATTTAGGTGGTGAGTATTCCTATAACATTTTCTTACCTGGCAATATTTGTTCTAGTCAGGAAGGAGCAGGAAGAGAATAGGAGTGTGTGAGGCTTGTGTGTTAAAGGCCTCACGTTGTAGACAGACTGAGAGTTCCTCTCCCTCCTCTGTGTCACGTCTTTTGTCTTCAGCCCCTTGATGCTGCAATAGTAGGAGAGGCTGTGTGCATGGTGGTAAGGGACACAAGTTTTGGCATCACAGAGCCTAAATTCGAACTCTAGTTACACTGACCTCGGGCACGTTATATTTAATCATTGTTCAGTTGCTGACAAAGGGCCACCTAGTCAAAGCTATGGTTTTTCCAGTAGTCATAAATGGATGTGAGAGTTGGACCATAAATAAGGCTGAGAGCCAGAGAATTGATGCTTTCGAACTGTGGTCCTGTAGAAGATTCTTGAGAGTCCCTTGGACTGCAAGGAGATCCAACCAGTCCATCCTAAAGGAAATCAGTCCTGAATATTCATTGGAGGGACTGATGATGAAGTTGAAACACCAATACTTTGGCCACCTGATGCGAAGAGCCACTCATTGGAAAAGACCCTGATGCTGGGAAAGACAGGGCAGGAGAAGAAGGGAGTGACAAATGAGATGGTTGGATGGCATCATTGATTCAGTGGACATGAGTTTGAGCAAATTCCAGGAGATAGTGCAGGACAGATAAGCCTGGCATGCTGCAGTCCATGGGGTCCCAAAGAATTGGACACAATTGAGTGACTGAAAAACAACAAAACAACAGTGTGTCTGTTCCCTCTTCTGTTAAAATGAGGATAATGAGAGTGAAAGTGTTAGTCTTTCATGTGTCTGACTCTTTGCAACCCCACGGACTGTAACCTGCCAGGCTCCTCTGTCCACAGAATTCTCCAGGCAAGAATACTGGAGTGGGTTGCTATTCCCTTCTCCAGGGGATCTTCCCAGTCCAGGGATTGAACCTGGGTCTCTTGCATTGCAGGTGGATTCTTTACCATCTGAGTCACCTGGAACCTCAAAATGAGGATAATATTACCATCTAAGGTCGTGATAATTCAGTGAGATAATGGATGAAAGTTATCTGGTAGATAGTGCATGTTCAATGATGTTCATTTGTATCATTATTACCACCTAAATACCAGCTTGGTGTATGGTTAGAGATGAGTGCGTATGTGTATAGTTAATTTAGAAAGACTTTAATTTGGTAATCTTCAGTTTTCAGATTACAAAGTGAATCTTTTGTGATCAAGGAACTTTTGAGGAAATACTGAAAATGCATTTCCCCAGCTGTTTTAACGGAAATGAGCACAATTCAGTGTCAGCTGAGATGTCTACTTTGACTTCAGACAGGATAACCATTGGCTTTTCCTCACAGGATCACTGTCTGGTGTCCCAGGGTCATGCATTACCTAGGAAGGACCGAGTTAGAGCCAAAGGGCATTACGTCTCCTCCACACAGGTCCCAGGCTTTCTTTGCAACCTGAAGTCACAAGGGGGTTTCTTTGGGGTATAGTAATACTCAGTCACTAAGTCATGTCTGACTCTTTTGTGACCCCATGGACTGCAGTCTGCCAGGCTCCTCTGTCCTTGGGATTTCCCAGGCAAGAATACTGGAGTGGGTTGCTAGTTCCTTCTCCTGAGGTTCTTTCTGACCCAGGGATCGAACCTGCATCTGCTGCATTGGCAGATGGGTTCTTTACCACTGAGCCATCAGGGAAGCCTAGTATCTTTTGTCCTTCAAGCAGCCAGACCTAAACGCAGGGGTCCCCTGGCTTCTCTCCACTGCCCTCCATCTCCTATCAGCCACACATTTGACTGAATTTTCTCCCTATTTCCTGCCCAAGCCTCATGTATTTTGGTGACTGGCATGGTAACATTCAGAAAATGTCTGTCTGTTTGCTTGTGTCCTGTGGCTATTTCTCAGAAACCTACTTGGGGAAAGTGTAGCTGTTTCTAGGAACTAAACCACAGTTACTTGCTGCTTCTACCTGCCTTCAGAGGTGATAAGGGGGACCAGTTTAGGAAAACTTAGAAGCTGTGAAAGCTGTTCTAGAAGATGGACACTGTCCAAGGAAGACTGGCTATGGAGTGGCATCAAAAGACACACAATGGGACAACCTGAGCCTTCTTTTCTACTGAGTCAGAAAAGCACAGATGTTGGGGATCATTGGGTGTGGACAGTGAAGGGAAGTGGCAATTCTGACATGTGACTAATACTACATTAGCGATTTCCCAGCAATCTGTGTGTGGAACCTGTGTGCTCTGCGTGTGCCAGACACTTGCTAGCAGGGCAAGTGAAGATGCCCTGAGGGAATATGCGGCAATTTCCACCCAGCTGAGTTTAGAGAGCCATAAATGGGATGGAGCTATAGTATGGGCAGTGTGGGTTCTGAAAGCAGAGCTGAAGCCGTTCGGATCCTTCAGCCCCTTTAAGTTAGTCTTATCAGATCAGGCCGTCACGGAGCAGATAGACAGGTAAGTCTCAGAGACCTCTGAACCCAATTAAAGTTATACCACAAAGAAATCAAACTCATGTGGTTTGCATTTCAGAAAGCTACATTTGGTGGGCTGTTCCTGTTTTAATTCGGTAACCTAATGCAGACCATGTGAACATTTGAAACGCTTTTAACAGTTAAACCAGCTCAAATAACACAAAACCAGAGCAGCAATAAAGAATGAATTAAAGCTGATTGCAACTGTGGCCAACATAATTTTTTTTCTCTTGCAAAGAACTTGGGGGGAATAGAATGCCGGACCCGTGGGGGAAGAGACTGGTATCTCCATTTTCAACCTTGAATAAAGCAGCAGGCACTTTGGCTTCTTTTATTTCTTAAGCAAATGTTTGAAACAGATCAACTTAGAAACTATACTTAAATCTTGAAGAGATTTGGGATGAGAGAGCAAAGGGGCTTGACATCCTTTAGAACTGATACTTTGGCAGTCAATAGCTCTGCATTCCCCGTGCTAAGACGGTCAGTGGACAAGGGCACAGCTGTAAGCCTACAGAGGTCAAGAGTTCAATCCTGCGTGGGTCACTTAGCCTCTTACTGGAGAAGGTGGGGAAGTGAAACCCATTTGAGTGCTTGCTGTAGCCTCTACCTGCCAAGTGTCTACAGAGGGTCCCCCAGGAAAGAGAAGCAGAAATAACAGCAGTGATCAGTTGATATGTTCCATGTATCAGACACTATTCTGGGTGCATTCAAGGCCACATACCTAACCTGGCTACTGAATTCATCTGTGCCTCAGTTTTCTTATCTGTAAAATGGGGACAGAATTATGATTCTCATTTTACAGATGAGGAGATGAGGCACTGAAAAGTTTAATTACTTTCCTAAGGTTGCATACATAATGAATGGCAGGACCAGGATTCAGATGCTGGTAGTCTGGTATGAATAGCTGCTGCACCGCCACAATATACCCCTGTAGCAAGTTAAGGAACTCTAAGACAAATTCAGTTGTGGATCATGGGAGCAAATGTCATAAGCCTCAACCTTGGTTATTGGCCTCTTGCCCGAAGAAGATTGACTGCACTATAGCTACACCCAGACATCACAGTGTACCGTGCATGCTCCACAATAATTACTGCGTTTGTGTTGGTTGAATTGGATTTTATACACACATAGAAGATGCCTCCTATGTGTGGTTGCCATGTTCCATCCGTGGATGGAAAAATTTCTTGAATAAAATCTAAAAGAGATGGTGAACATGCTTTGGATTTGTTTCCATGTAATCCTAGGCACTTGAAGGGAGAGCCATGGGGTGTGAGGAGGGCAGCTTGGGCCCAGCCCTGCGACAAGTGCCATAGGTGATAACTGACTGCCTACCCCATTTCCCAGAGCATGCTGACTTTGTCAGAGATCCAAGGGAGCAAGGGAGAAAGGACCTGTAATTTCAGATCCATTAGCGACAGAAAGCCTGCCAAGTGGGAAAGAGTAAAACTACAGGAAGAAACTTTATTTGCAAACTCTTGAGGGGTTATCACCAGCAGCAGGGAGCCGAATAATCACTGGTGGGCAAAGGGGCTCCACTGAACCCCCCTGAGTTTGGGTTCCTTCCGGAGCAGTGGGAAGCTGGCTGTCAATCTCTTCTGCAGGCAGTGCCAAGTTCATCTGCCTGACCTTCACAAACACTCCTCCCCAGAGGATGAGCAATCTTCCTCCTTTCTTCTTTTAAAATGAAAACTGGTGTTAGATCCAGTTTTTCCAGTTAGATCCAGATCTAGCTAGATCCCCTGAACAAAATAGAATTATTAACTATAAATAAAAAGGTAAAAGCCTATCACTGGTTTCTTTTTCTTAATCTCATAGATAAAGGCAAATGGTTAATTAAAGTACTTTAACTAAGTATGTGTTAAGCAACTGCTTTCCCAGCCCTGTTCTGTTATTCCGGAGGAAAGGGCATGGCAGTCTGTTCGAGCATTCTTGCCTGGAGAATTCCACGGACAGAGGAGCCTGGTAGGCTATAGTCTATGGTGTTGCAGTCAGACATGACTGAAGCAACTTAGCACAGATGCACGTTCTGTTATTAACAGGGGAGAGGATTCAGACGCTTGATGAAAATGTTGCCTCTTTGACTTAAAGGTAAAGGAAATCCAGTTTACCTCCCCCAACAACTCTGGTTTCAAGGATTACAGTCCACTTAACTCTCTTTAAGGCCTGGATAAACATTGGCTGCCTAGTCTTCTAAACAATCCTCAGGTTGTTGGTTTAGTTACAGTTAGCTTTCTAGAAAAGTCTCAGGTTCTCCCGATTCCTCCAGGTCGACCCTGCTCTCCTCCTGTGGCATACCTGTGTCTTTTAGTAAGCCATACACCCAGATGGATCGGTGTATCACGTGCCTGCAGCTCCGTAGATGACTAAATAATCAGTGACATGTACATGGTGATCAGAGTAGGCAGAAGAGAATCTTGATTCACATTAAGGATAAAAACCTATTTTCTTTCTAATAAGGATTTTTCGTTTGAAACTCTGTCTCAGCACCTGTTTTCAGAGAGCCCAACCTGTGACAGGCTCCTTCATCTGTATGTGGCCCAGATAACCAAATCCCTTGTCTTTCAGACAGTTTTAAGTGAATTCTTCCTCCTCATTCAGTTGTCTCTGCCAGAATTTAAAATTTCTCTTTAGCAGCCTCTATAAGCCACTCTAGCTATACGAGGACATTTTCTGAAACTGCATGTTTCAGGAACACGAGATATCAAAAGATCTCCTTACCCCCTACTTGAGTCCTTGAAAATGCTTAACTTATTTCTAACTCTAGTCATTCAGTAAATATTTCTTGAGCACTCCTGTCCCCCAACCCTGCCACAATCCAGTGTCTGTGTTCTCCTCTATGAAAAAATATATTTTACATATTATGCTTGTATATTTTTCATATATATTTTATATATACCGTTGAACATTGAACAATGCTTGTGGTGGGAATGCCAATCTTCCCTCTCCCTACACAGTCAAAAATCCAAGTATAACTTTTGGCATGATAAAAACTTAACAACTAATAGCCTACTGTTCACCAGAAGCCTGTTGACAGCATAAAACTGATTAACACATATTCTGTATGTTATGCATATATCTACCTATATTTTATGCATTCATGACATTAACTTTCTTTTAGTTTTTTTCCTTATTATATCTGCAAGTTTTTTCAACTTGTGGCAAATCTCTAGAACATTTTCTAATAAATTTATTGAAAAATATCTCCATGTAAGTGGACCCATGCAGTCCAAACCTGTATTGTTCCAGGGTCAATTAAATAAATAACTAATAAAATAAATACCATATATTTTAACATATATGTTTTATATTTGTATCATATTATGTGCCAGGTACTGTGCTAGGCTCTGTGAACACAATGGAGAGAAAAATAAACAGATGTGTTCATGGAACACATAGTCTAGTGAGGATGATGGACATGAATTGAAGATTTATACAAATACCTCTGAATTGTCACCTTCTAAGTTACAAATGCATGTTGCTCTGAAAACATCTAGTAGAAGAGCTCGGCTTTAATGGGGAAGGTCAAGGAAGATTTTTCTGAGAAATTTTGAAAGTTGAAGGTATCACCATACATACAGTAAACTCACTCAAACTTTAAGAGTAGTGTTGGAGATATGTATATATATATATAAATTTGAAATAGTTTTAGTAGTTCAATATTCCTTTCTGCTTCTACCTCAAGTCCCATGGTATACTACTTTCTTTGGTGGGTTCTATGTATGTCTCCCATTTTATACAGCAAGCACCCAGCTGTGCATAAAGAATAAATCACTTTTAACTTTAGCTAAAGGCTGGACCAAAAGAGGCCCCCTCTTTCTACTTCTCAACCCTTCCCACCAACATGGTCTTAATTTCAAAGCTGGTGATGAAGATTGAACGTGCAAAAGGATCTGGCTTATGGCTCTTTCTTTTGGCAGCAGCAACCTTGGGAATAATTTAGAGATCACATTTCAGACCCATTTTGCACACCATCAAAGCAAAGGGGATAGGAACTGATGCTTTTGAAATTGGAGGGGCCAGGCCAGTTTTCATGTGACTGCAGTTGAAGTTCTCTGGCGTCACAAGTTCAGCAGACGGATATCATACGCCTACCTCTGGTATGGTGTTCTGAGTTCCTTGGGAAATTTGATCCTTGGCCTCACTTTCATCATGCCTACCACAGCGCTTTAGGCCAAGACCTCCTCAATCTCAGCGTCACGCGACCGCCTCCATCCAGTGGACCTAAATGTCGGGATTTCTAATGACGCCTCCCAAAGGTACCAGATTTCTGCCAGGGAGATTCTTCTCTGAGACAGTATAGTGCAGTTTTTATGAGACTTTGGGGCATGTGGCAGCTCCATAGCAATGATGAGTAAATATTCCCCCACATCATACGTGATGAGTGAAACCACCCCAAAATTGGTTTTTACTAACTATTTGGGCAGCCAGGCCAATGGGGGACCAAGATAAAGGTGATCACATCAAGGTTAGAGATTCTTTAAATAAAACAAACTGAAATTTTCCTCTTCCCAAAGGGCAAAAAGGAGCCAGCTACCCTGCATATCTCAGAGCTGAATTTCTTGCGTTGCATAAATTAGAAGGAAAGTATGCTCTACCCTGCCCTTTATTTTACTAGCAATACTCCTGGGTCCAGAAGAAGTGAGTCACAGATGCTTAGAAGCATCTCAATTGCTCACTTTGAACAGTTTACTTTGAACTATTGAAATAATGCACTAGAAATGAACTTTTCTTGTTTTTCTGTCCATATAAAGCAAGTTCTTTTTGACACATGTGAAGCCTTCTGAATGGATTAAGAGCACAAATTTACAGCTAGATAGGCCTGGGTCCAAGTCCTGGCCCAACTGCTCTGTGACCTTCGACATGCTTACTTTCTCCCTGCCTCAGTTACATCATCATTAGGGTGTGGATATCAGCAATCAACTCACATAGCTTCCATAGGAAATAAATGAGATAATACATACATAGAGAATTTAGAATTGTGTT